CATCATTTCCCAGAGATTCCCCACAGGATTAAGCTTTGGTTACCCACAGTGGTAACTTGCTTGACAACATTCTCCTTCCAATCACAGTTCCTACAGGAATGTGGGGCGGTAGCTTCACTTCTATTCATAAGATGAAAGTGAAATAATGGAGACTTATATGAAAACCTGACTCACCCATCAGTGTGACCAGCAAATTTTTGGAATAGGGCAAGAGTTTCAAATAAAGTCATATTTTGGTGCCAGTCACACATCATGAAATGTAATCTAAAATACTAACAGTTTTCTTCACCGCGTGATTTAAATCTAGAGAAGCATTTAGCAACCTGCGTTGTACTGGGATCAGCCGCGCCTAACGTTCATCCTGTCAGCAGCTACTTTATTACTGCAATGACTGAGTCCAGTAGTGGTGCAACAGCAAGCAGAAACACCGAAACAACGCCCGGGGTCTAGAGGCGGATTTACTTACCTTGGCAGGGATCATTCCCAGGATATCAGGCCCTGACCTCTGGTGGTCCAGGGCTGATTGAGATAAGCCATCAGGAAGTACAGAGGCAGAATGGCCTGTCAGTTGGGACTATGCATCACAGTGACCCGCTGTTTCTAAGAGACAAAAGCAACTGGAACTGGAACAGGAACCTGGGTAACAAACTAACGTGTACTGGCTGAGGGAGCCATTTTCTGTTACATTTCCCTTTCTTTTAGTTTCCTTGGCAAATATTTGCTATGTATATTACATGTGATCTTGGAGACAAGGCCTAAGTAGAAGCAGTAATATTACTCAGGCAAGATAGTGAGGGAGTTAATCTGATCTATGAGTGTCCAGTGTGCCTTGGACACTCATCAAATCTTGGTCCAGTGTGTTTTATTTTCGTGGGGCAAAAAACAGCAGGGGCAGAGAAGCAAGGACTGGGGTAAGCAGCCTGAAAAGACACAAAAGTCAAGGGGAAGGGGCTGGGGATTTAGCTCAGCGGCATAAGCGCCTGCCTTGCAAGTGTGTGGCCATGAGATCGATCCCTGGTACCACCAAAAAAAAAGATCAAGGGGAAAAATCCTGTGAACTGTGTTCTCAGGCTTCAGGTATGCATGGACTGGTCAGTTGGTCAGTGTCCAGAGTGACCAGAGCAGGGCCTTGAGTGCACTGTCTCTTCAGTGTGAGCTGTCTGGCCCAGGTAAATTTTTCAGTGGATCTATTTAAAAAATGTGTAGAGATAATTAATATATACCTAGGTTACATGTGTATGAATGTCTACAGATATAGCTGGTGTTTTAAATGGTTAAGAGCTGGGGTTTTTGTGCTTGTTTTTAACTTTTCCAGAGCTTTTATGGCCTCTTTGCTGTATGTAGTTTTTATTTAATATATTTTTTGAGTTACCTCTGCTACAAATGCAGGCCTGATGTCACTGTCAATGATCAAGGGTAGGCCATATCTATGAATAATTTTTTATAGTAAGACCTACAAACTTTTGTTATCTTTTCAGAATGGGTAGAGAATGGGAGGTCAGGGCCAGTGACACAGACACTGAAGCTTGAACTGGCTTCAGGAATACAGGTGCCAGTGCAGCAGCTTGAGCTTGTAGAACACATGGTGGGAGCAGGTCTGGTGGCGAGGGATGATGTTTAAGTCAACTGGATCCTCAAAAAGAAGCTTAGGTCTCTGGACTACATTATTTTGTGTTGTTGGTGGCAGCTTTCCAAACAGCAGCAGGAAGCAGTAGATCATCCCTGCAGGAAAGTTTTGTCTAAAATAGTTTTGTCTAAGATGACCACAGCATATCTAGCCTGACAGACTTCATTCCTAACAGAGCTGCTTCCATCTGTGAACAGGGTCTCCTCAGCATCTGTCAGGGGTCCAGTTTTAAAAATCTGATCAGCTTGAGAATGGTTTATGGGACAGTTCAAGGCTGTCATGGTCTGTTGGGCCCAACTCTGTGGGCAGGTGTGTGGCAGGATCGAGTGGTTTTAACACAAGAGTCAGGCAGGGATTTTTGCATAAGAGTCTTTGGTACTGGGTGAGGTCCAGCACAGCATGTGGCACCTGAACAGTTAGGTCTTGGCCTAAGATGAGCTTGTCAGCTTTCTTGACCAGAAGAACAGTGGCTACCAGAGTGTGGAGGTAAAGGGAGAAACATCCCTTAGCTCCTGGATCCAAGTATTTGCACAGGTAAGACACTGGGTGCTCCCAGTGGCTGACAGTCTGAGTAAGCATCTTTTTTTTTTTTTTTTTTTTTTTTTTTTTTTTTTTTTTTTGTGAACTCAAGGATCCAGATTTTATAAAAGCCAACAGCTCCAAGAAATTTGTGGAGTTTCTTTCTTGTAACCAGTTTATGGCAAATATTGTAGCAGAGCTTTCCTGTCTTTCCAGCAGGCATCTTGAGTACTATTAATCAGAAGTACTTTTTCAAAGAGGAAACAAATTTTTGAACCTCAAAGAGGTGGAGTTCAGGTCAGTTGGCTTTTGAGTCCAGAACTGAAGTCTTTCCATTTAAAGGCGAAGGGGCTGGCTGACGGGAGCCAACCTAATGCAGAAGGCATGTTTTAGGTCCAGACAGTTGTACCAGCAGGCCATGGGTGGCAGAAGGCTGAGGCAACATATATGGAGGGTAATTGTAGCAGCATTAGCAACTCAGAGATCCTAAGCTGGCTTTACGGGTAGAAGAGATGTATTTTAGCAGTTAAACAGTGTATTTACCGAGGGTACCATGACGGAGCTGAAAGGATAAGAGGAACCTCAGAAAAGGTGCTGGTGGTTTAATCAAATCTGTTGTTAGTGCCTCCTTGAAGAATGCAAAAGTTCTTAACCCTTTGTGGCACTGATCTTGCTCACCGTGATTAACAATCTAGCAGGCTGTGTGGCTGGATGCCCATTTTTGCCCTTCATGACATCTGATAGCAATGGAGTTGCGGTTAGGTGGTGCTATGGTTTGAGTCTGGATGTCCCCTCAAAGTCTCATGCAGTCATGGAGGCGGGATTCTAGAGATTTTTTTTTTTTTTTTGGTTTGTTTTTGCTTCTTTTCCAAATCCATTTTATTTCAAAGATAGAAAGAAAAAAAGAAAAACAAAAAGACTACAACAAAATTTCAAAACATGTCAATCAGGGGGCAGCAATGGTAGGGCTTCTAGAGTTGAGAATAACTCATGGTCCAACACTGGGATGAAGGGTGTAAGTGCTACACCCAAGTGGGTGTGGCCTGTACAATATAAAGGACAGAGTCTTCTCTCCATGCTCCTTCCCTTTTGCTCTTGTTGCTTGTGCTGTTTTGTGCCATCATGAACTCTTGCCTTCTGCCATGTGCTACTCTGCCTTGGAGACAGCAGATTATGGACTGAAACCTCCACAAACTTCTTTCCTTCCTTCACTTTGGGTGTTGGGTATTCTGTCCCAACAATGAAAGAAAAGTAACCAAGACAGTGGCCTGGTTGATGTCCAGGCCTGGAGGCATCTTTAGTCTATACCTCTTGGAGGAGAGTTTTCAGAACCTCAGGATTATAGTTATCTGCCTCAGGCTGATGCAGGTGTCATTTTCCTCTTGAGAAACCATCAAGGTTGAATATTCAGGGTTAAGTGGAGGGAGGCTGACTGGCTTGGCACAAAGGAGATGCCCTTCCAGGTTGTACATTTATACCTGGAAGAAGCCGCAAGAGACAAGAGTCCTAGATGCCCCAGTAATAGTTGCTTTTTGACAGAGGGAACTTTGAAGGCAGAGAGTTCTGTTCCACTGTCTACCAGGAAAGTCACAGGGTTTGGTTCTCAGGGGCCCAGTTTGATAAATCTCAGTCTGTCTAATCTACTCATTTGTTAGGGATGACAGGCCAATTTTTTATCAGTCAAACTGTGGAACTCATAAGGAATTGTTGACAGTCATTTCAAGTGTGTGCCAGATGATGCCATCTGACCAGTACGGGTGTGTAAGCAGAAGGCTCTGGAGGGCAGGTCTCTGTGGCTGGATGCTGGCAACGGTAGCTGGAACCAGTTCAGTTGGCTGGAAGTAGATGTGCTAGGAGTGGGGAGTGAAAACATATGTCTGGATAGCAACTGTGGCAGCTGACAAGGGTGCCAAACTTGAATTCTCAGGAAGAATGGGCCTCTCTTTCCTTTTTTTTTTTTTTCTTTGAGGTACAGGGAGCAGTTTGATTTCATTTTTAATATTGTAAAAGCCCTTATTTTTGCAGTCAGGTACTGTGAGTTTTGACTAATTCTCATCTCTGACTTATGTGTGTTCTACACCCTTGAACAACTGTGCAACAGACAAAGGATGGGTGCCCCTCAAGAGAGAGATCATTCAGATGTCCTCCTGGCCATGCCCCTTGCAGGAAATTAGGCTCAACTTAGCCAAGAAGGGTACGAGGACTTTATTATGTCATCTGTCAATCATCACCACAGAACCTCAGATGAGGGCCCAATCAGCCACCAAAACCAGTGCTGTCAAGTCTTGGTGAACAGACAGAACAGCCTATTGCTTATGCTGTCTATTCCACTCACTCACACATTCATTCAGCAGGCACTCAGAGGTTAAACATTTCAACCCTCTTCCCGTAAGGGTGACCTTATCTAAAAAGAGTTGATCAAGCTCTTCTTCCTCTGCTCAAATTGATCAGAACTGAAGACTAACTGGGGTGACCCCAGGCGTCTTACCAGAATCAGGCAGGCAGATAGATTGTGTCCTCCTCCCTTTGGAGTCCAACATGAGCTGCTCAAGCAGGGGACCAGGAATCCTCCTCCAGCCTTCTGAGGGAACTTATGAAATCTTTTTTTTTTTTATCGGTATCGGGGATCGAACTCACAACCGCCTGCTTGCAAGGCAGGTGCTTATGCCGCTGAGCTAAATCCCCAGCCCCAAACTTATGAAATCTTGAGGGCATCTTCCCTTTGCGATCGGGAGAGGTCCTTGCACTGTCTGAGAGGGCCAGGACTGGTGACCAAAGAAGTCAGCACAGTCAGTCTTCCTGGCTGACACACCAGATGTAACGGAAAGCAGAAACACTAAAACAACACCCAGGATTTGGAGGCAGATTTATTTACATTGGCAGGCACTGATCAGGATCATTCCCAGAATATCAGTTCTTGACATCTGATGGTGTAGGGCTTACAGGAGATAAGCAAGCAGAAAGTACAGAAGCAGAATGGCTTGTCAATTGAAGCTATGCATTTCAGTGACCAGCCATTTCTAAGAGATAAAAGCGACCAGAACCAGAATAGGAACTATAGTTCCTGAGCAACTAAGAAACTGAAGTACACTGATGGGGGAGGGGAGTTCTGATACAGTGGTGACACAATAATATGGGCAGCAAAGTCTAAACTATCTACTATATATAAACTACTTACTTGCCTTTTTATAGGAAAATTTGTTAACAAAAGTTCAAGACCTGATTTGCAACATTTGCTGATTTTTGTAAACATTTCCATCATGGTCAATTTCAAGTAGCCAATCAGAGTTACGTTATGACTTTCATGATTCTTAGGCATTTTTGCTCTAGGGAACTCTTCCTCTATAATACAAATATACACATGTATAAAATTTTATGTTTATAAATAAGATATCTTAACAGTATATATTTATATTAAATATAAATCATAAAGTACAATGACATGAAGATGAACATATTATTATATATTAAAACATTTTCTTCAACCTAAAAGTTATATTTTGCTTCTGATCTTAAAAAAAATTGGGAGTTGAGAGTGTAGCTCAGTGCAGAGCCTTGCATGAGTTCAATCCCCAGCACAAGAAGAGAAAAAACTAATTTCCTTGAAACATTATGTAGGCAGCAATACAGGGGCAGGGGTTCTTGTGCATCCTGCTGAGGATCTTTATGGATAAGCTGGCCCAGCTACCAACCCAGCGCTGCTGAGCACAGACCTAGGGAGAGATGTACAATAGCCTACCTTTTAACATTGTTTCTATTATGCATTTAAAAATGATTAAAGTGGTAAGGATACATTTCACCACATAAAAAAAAAATTCTAAAGAGACATGCTGGCCAGGCATGGTGGTACATGCTCATAATCCCAGCACTTAGGAGGCTGAGGCAGGAGGCCAGCCTGGGCTACAACATGATTTCAAAGCCAGCATGAACTGTACAGGGAAACACTGTCTCAAAAAGATCAAAAAGAAAAAAGGAAGGAAGGAAGGAAGGAAGGAAGGAAGGAAAAACAATTTAGTTCCAGGATTCTGGCTTATGTCAGATAGACACAGAGACATGGAAGCCCTTTGGGGAATATACAAAACATGAGAAGGAAAAGTGGAAATACTGAGAAATAATATGTCATATATGAAGCTTTGTTCTTTATTAGTAATTCCTCTTCAAGCATCCAGAAATGTAAGATCCAGCAGCCAACTTCCAGAAAAACTGGCTGTAAGTCTGGGATCTGGCTTTAAATGTGAGACTGGCAAATCTTTCCTCCCATTCAAGCTCTTCTCCTGTGGGGGCACAAATCTGATCTGCTACTCTTTAGGCTGGTTTTGCATGTCATAAGCATTTATGTGTATCACTGGGCATGGTGATACATGCCTGTAATCTCTACACGCAGGAGACTGAAGCAGGATTGCACATTGTTAAGAGGCCAGCCAGGACTACATAATGTGTTTTAAACCCGTCTGGAATACATAGTAAGACATTGTCTCAAAAAAAAAAAAAGTTTATGTGTATGTTTCAGTTACCTACTACTGTATAATAAGCCATCCCCAAACCTAAAACAACCAGGCTCATCTGGGAAGATTTTTGTTCCACATAATGTCGATGAGGTTATTCCTGTGGCTCTATTCAGTTGATAGCTCAGCTGGGGTTGGAATGTCCAAGGTGGTATCATGCATATGTAGGGCTCAGCTGCAGTTTCTAGAATGTCTTGGAGCATTGGCTGGGGCTCAGTGTCTCTTCATAGGGCTCCTCAGTAGGGCAGCCAGACTGCTGTACAGTCTAGAAAGTAGAAGCATAAGCTGCCACGCCTCTTGAGCTTTACACCAGAAACTACCAGTCATTTGTGCCACACTTTGTTCTTTGTTTTTTATTAGTAATTCAAAGAAATTGATCTATCCTGCCATATTGGTCAAAGAAAATGATCTATCCTGCCATATTCAAAAGGAGAATATGGCAGGAAAAACAGTATGGTCAACTAAGGAGGAGAAGGTTTGTTGGTATTATCTTTGCAGAAAATCTATTACAGTAGTGCTCAGATATGGGTATGAGAATTCAACTGTCCACTGCCAAAAGGAAGAATTAAAAGAAGTGAAAGCTGTAAGAACCCTTTCAACATAATCCAAAATGGTACAGCACACAACAAATGTTTAGTAAGTGCTGATCATCATTATCATTAATCATGATTATTCTTTTTTTTTTTTAATCGGTACCGGGGATCGAACTCACGACCACCTGCTTGCAAGGCAGGTACTTGGGGCTGGGGATTTAGCTCAGTGGCATAAGTGCCTGCCTTGCAAGCAGGCAGTCGTGAGTTCGATCCCTGGGACCGATAAAAACGAAAAAGACAAAAAAAAAAAAAAAAAAAAAAAAAAAAAAAAAAACAAGCAAGGCAGGTACTTATGCCGCTGAGCTAAATTCACAGCCCCATCATGATTATTAACAATTTTTTAAATAGTCTGAGAAAATAGCACTACTATCCACTTTACAGCGATATGCGTGGGCCAAATAAATTTTAAGGTCTCTTTCAATCTACATACCATGATTGTCTGAGTCTCTTCTTACTAATATTTGAAATTAAGGCTTAGAAAGTTTGAGTGATTTGTCTCAAGTCACACACTTAGCTAGTTAGCATAGTGAAGCCTACATTAAAGATGTCTTCCTTCACTAAATATGCTGCTTTTCATTGGTTCATGTAATAATGTATTGTCTTGTGCTTGGAGTATACGTAAGCGTATAAGGACAATTGTTAAATATAACCTATGTAAAATTTTGTTTTTTGTACCAGGGATCGAACTCATGATCTCCAGGCAGGCGCTTATGCCGCTGAACTAAATCCCCGGCCCTATCCTATGTAATATTATGTCATTCAATCCGCATCCTAAATCTATGATGTAGGTAATATAATAAACCCTTTCCAATTTTAGATGACAATGAAACAGAACAAGGTAAAATCAAAGGATCCTACCTTCATAGACATATTAGAAAGGACATAGGGTAGCCAAGTAAATGTATAATCACAAATGATTCTTAGAGTCCTGCGGCTGTAGGAGCTCAGGTGCCAACCACTCTCCTCCACAGCAAGGTCCCAGGTAACCTGGCAACGGGACTTTCTGCCAATAGTAAAGATGGCGCGCAGGGAGCAAGCGTGTTTCGCACTCCCCTATTACCCAGAAGGCAGCGGGAATAGGGGAGGAGCGCTGGCTGCCAGGAACTAATATGGCTCCAGGAGTTACACTGTCCTCTCTCTTCGCCTAATCCGCGACCTGACTATATAGCCCAAACTGTCGAGAAGGAGTTAAATCACCTTCGCCTCTCCGATGATTGCGACTACATGAGCGATTGCAGCTGGGCGATTACCTGTCGAAGTTAGTCTGTACCCAGGGAAGCACCACTTCCGCTGACGTCATCACGGCGACACGTGGATCCAAGATGGCGGCGGCGATGGTGAGTGAAGGAGACTCTGGGAGCCGGAGCTGGAGCAGGGCCCGCCTGGCTATCCCAGAACGTTCCGGCGCCCCTTGCCTGGTCCCCAGCCACCTCCAGGACCCCTCCTCAGGGTACCCTTGACTAAGCTCGGTTCCCCCCAAATCCTCCTCCTGGCCGCGTACTCAGGCTTGTCAAGGCCAGGAGAATCAGGAGGGGCGCCGTTTTGGAGGAAGACCTCGTCCAGTATCCGCGGGTTCCAATTCCTACTTCGGTCCCCGTCCCCCGTTGCTCCATTTTCCCAATTTTCACCTCGCAGCCCTAAGTTCTCCGAAGAACACCCTCCAATTCTTCCCACCCTCGCTCCTCCTCTTCACGTCCAGATCCTGCTCTCCCCGCCTCCCCATCATTCTGACCATTGCTTGTGTGTGATCTCACCTCTGACCAGCCTCCTAACCCAAACCCTGTCATCCTGTCCCAATCGCTCAACCCTCTGGACTGCCGCTATCCCAGAGCATGTCCATACCATCTTCCATCCTTGGATCCTTTTCTATTCTCTCTGGCTTTTTCTCTTTCAACTTCTTGTCTCTCTCCTAGGGTTTTTTTGTTTGTTTGTTTGTTTGTTTGTTTGTTTTTATCCCATTGTTTCTCAAACTTTACTATGCGTAAAGAATCTTAGGTCGTGGGGAGGCATGATAAATTGCAGTTTCCTGAGCCTCACTCCCAAAGATTATAATAGGGCTGGGCAGTGCCTAGGAGTGTACATTTTTTAAGCAGTCGGGTGATTTTGAGAGACGTGGTCCATGAACCACGTTTTGAAAAACACTTTTACCCCTCCCTGGCTCCCACAGGGCCACACACTCTTAATGATGAAGACTCATTATGATGAAGCTCCTTAGCATGAAGTGTGTGTGAATAAGGATTGAAGTAAAAGACCTATGGGTCAGAACTTTCTGGCTTCTGGTACAGAACCCCAGAAGTAAATCTTTAAAAGACTATCCTCTTTTTCCAAAAGTTCAGCTCACATTTTGCCTGTCAACAGACCAAAAATAAATTTGCAGTCATTTAGTGCAGAGAGATTTCCCGACTCTTCCTGGAAATTGCTTCTTCAGCAGATAATTTTATCCTAGGAGTGAGTGACAAGGAAGACACAGAAAAAGATGTGACATCTGAACTTAAGCAAAGGAAGATTCTTGCTTAAATTCTTTGTTATTGACTAATGATGGCTTTTCTTCCTGTGTCAACTGACTATTGACTTGTCTGTTTAATGAAGAAAGATTTCTTAGTCTGGGGCTGGGAATGTAGCTCAGTGGTAGAGCACTTGCTTAGCATGTGTGAGGTCGTGGGTTTGATCCCTAATACTACCACAAAAAAACTTTGTTTTAACTTACAGCTTTACTGTACTTAATTTCTACAGTCTCAGACTTTAGTCTAAACCATAAGTGGGGAAAACCCCCAAAATGATATGTTGAAACCTATTTCTTTTCCTTTAGCACATTTAGAACCAGGATGGTGTAAGAACTTAATAGGAAGTCACACCCTCATGCCATAGGGAGAAAGTTCAGTAATGTGGCATAGCATCACCCTGGGAAATTCTTGCCCTCTTCAGAGATGTTTAAAAGGTTATTAAGTTAGTAATCCTTATTCCTGCTACACATTTATTTATTTAAATAGCAAAATTTTTAAATTTTATTTTTGTTTTTTGAGATGAGGTCTTATTGTGTAGGTCCGGCTGGCCTTAAATTCACTGTATGCCCAGCCTGGCATCAAACTCACAGCAGTTCTCCTGGTGCAGCCTCCTTAATGCTGGGATTACATGCGTGCACCACCACACTAGACTTTTCGAGGTAGAGTGGTAAATTTGCGAGTCAAGGTGTCTACTTTCGCGAAGCTTTTCTAGTCTGAGAAGGTACGTAGTGAATAAGTAATATGTGAATAACAGTGTCGGTATAAAGTTCAATGAAGACAGCAAGGTGAAATAGTGAACCAGCATGAGTGGGCGACACAATTACTATATTTGAGGTTGAGTGGTCAGAGCCATCGTCTTAGAGAAAGTGATGATGAGTTGTGACTTGGTTGATAAGAAAAAACTGGCCATGCAAAGAGGGTTCTGGGCAGAGGAAATGGGAACTTATGAAGGACACGAAAGCAGACAGTGCCAGGGATGTCGCTCAGCCTCATAGCACCTGCTCGGGAAGCACAATGACACAGGGTAGAGTTTGATTCCTGGAAGGGTGTGAGAGTGGGGGAGGCTTTGTCATTTGGGAAACAGGGCAGAAGACTAGAGGGGTTAAAGGGCCGGTGTGGTAGGCCTGGGAACATTGTAAGAGATTGATACAAGATGAAATTGAAGAGGGGCCAAGAGCAACTATGTTTCTAGAAGCATGATTATATTTGAGGTGTAGCTTGTAATCTGTGGACTGCATTCTGAAATATCCACTAGATTGTTTTGTTTGACTTCTGTTCCCCTCTAGGACTCCCATTAGGGGAGCCAGTTTGTTCTTATACTCTAGTTGAAAGAAGTGTGGATTTTATTTTCAGCACACTAGAAAGCACAGAGAGTTTGTATTGTGCTGCTTAGGGATTTTATACTGAGCTTCTATGCTGAAAACAGCAACTGATTTCAATAGAATATGTGACGCCTGTGTGGTAACACACACTCAGGAGGCTAAGAAAGGAGAAAGGATCATGAGTTTGAGGCCAGCCTGGGTTACATAGTGAGACCCTGATCTCCAAAAACAAAACAAAGCACAGTGAGTACGTGTTGTGTACAAAAGCCAGTTAAAAGTCTGCTTATGAGCAGCTGCAATAGTGAAAAGACGGAAGCAAGTTGAATACAGAGTATATGTGTAACAGGCAGTGTGGAATCACAGATGTGAGTTTGGTCTGGGTCAAGCACTGTATTATATGGAAGTCACAATGGTCCCATACCCTTATATACCTAGGTTATTTCACAACCTATAGGGTGGGGCGTGTAGATCCAATTTAGGGTGTTTGGGTTTCTGAGGCAAGTTGTACAACCAAAGAGGAACTGAACTGATGAATTCAGTGGCCATGGGAAAAGGATGGGGTTTTGGTTTTTTCTTTTGTTTTGAAGGTTAGGGTTGTGGGTACACATTTCAAGGGCTTTTCCCTCTCTTAGTTTGGTAATCGGCTGTTCCCCAAGGGTTGGGCTGTTACCTCCCAGATCTAATTAGTGCAGTGGATATTTCCTGAACCTGCAGGGCAAGACTTCTTTCCTGATGTGGGAGGAGATAGTCACTGGTATAAACTGAAGTTCTTTCTTCGTTTCTTGCCTTTTTCCTACCCTGGACTTTTAGACTATGGTATAAAGTTACAGGATACAGGTTTGATATGGCTGGGTCTGAATTGAGAAGCAGGCTCATATCCTTACTCTTTATGAGAAACTGCTTTGAGAATATTCCTGTTTTTTTATGGGACCTGAGAAATGTGTATTGAGTAATATACATTTGAGTCTAGAAATTTTCGTTTGAGAATAAACTGTACTCGTATTTTTTTCACACTGTTTTGATTCTTGTTATAATTTTTTAATGATTATAATTCATATATAAAATTTACCTTTTAAAATATATAATTTACTGATTTTTAGTAAATTTAGATGGTTGGATAACTATCACTGCTAATTCTGAGCATTTTCATCACTACAAAAAGAAACATTAGCAATCATTCCTATTTTCTTTTTCCCACCTGTGGCGATGCTAACTTATTTTCTGTCTCAGGGGATCTCCGTTTTCTGGACATTGTATATAAAGAGAATACAATATACGTTCTTTTGTATCTAGTTTATTTTACGTTTTTTAAAGTTTATCCATGTTGTAGCATGTATCATTGCTTCATTCCTTTTTATGGCTAAATAATATTCCACAGTATGGTTGTTTCAGCCACAATTTGTCAGTTCATCAGTTGGACACTGAACACTGGAATTGTTCTCTCTCTTTTTTTTTTGGTCTTTCTGAGACAGGGTCTAACTATGCAGTTCAGGCTGGCCTGGAACTCAGTATGTTACCCAAGCTGGCCTTAAACACAGTAATCCTGCTGCCTGGGCCGCCTGAGTGCTGGGATTACGTGCCTGGCTGTTGCTACTTTTTGGCTGTAGGTATAAAGCTGATGTGAACATTCATCCATATTGTTACATGAATAACTTTTTCAGGTCCGTTGCTGGGTCACTTCCTGTTATTTTGAGGTGACTTGGGTTTAATCCAGTGTACAGGCAAAGGGATGGACTGAGGGACACCAGGATTCCTTTGAGCTGATGGAGGCAGTACCTGCAAGTACCACCAGTCCAGGTTAAAGGCACAGGCTTTGTATGGTGGAATCGGGGGCTAACCACAGGGCAGCTGGATGGGAGAGTCTGAACAGGAGATAGGATGCCTGAACTCTGCCCCGCCCTCTGTGCGGGAAGCTGCTGTCTTGTACGGCTGGGCGTCAGGGGCATAGAGGAATAAGCATTGGTCAGGATCGGCAGCCTGGCTTAGTCCCAGCACTGCTGCTGATTGAGTCAGTGCATAGCCGGAGCAAATTTCTTTGGCTTTCTTGGTCTGTTTTTCGTATGTCACATGTGCAATTGAGATTAGGACTTAATGCATTATTTCTAAATTCCAAGGTGAAAATTCTGTGGTCTAGTACTTGCATTGAAGGTGACTTGCTAGGATGCCTATAAAACAAAAAAGTTTTTTTTTTTCCTTTTTCCATAATCATAGTCCCTATGTTGTTGTCTTGTGTTGGTGTTGTTGTCTGTCTGATCTCTAGAGTTGCCCCACTTGTCACATTCCCTGTGGGAGCCACTGTGTCCCCGGAGCTGAGATGCTAACCCCAGACCACGGTTAAACGTGTTTCTCTGAGGGGTCCCCTCAGAAGAGTGCCCTTGATCCCTCCAGGAAGTACTGCAACTGCATTAAGTTGCCTGTTGGTTTCTCTTTTACGACTTGGACAAAAGTTCCCCTTTGATCTTGCTATTAAAGAGGCAGGTTGCAGAATGTTGGGAGAAAGTTGAGTTTTGA